GTGGCCAGGGCTAACGTTAGCTCGTCTACAGTGGCCAGGGCTAACGTTAGCACGTCTACAGTGGCCAGGCCTAATGTTAGCACGTCTGCAGTGGCCAGGGCTAACATTAGCTCGTATACGGTGGCCAGGGCTAACGTTAGCTCGTCTACAGTGGCCAGGGCTAACGTTAGCCCGTCTGCAGCGGCCAGGGCTAACGTTAGCACGTCTGCAGTGGCCAGGGCTAACATTAGCTCGTCTACAGTGGCCAGGACTAACGTTAGCCCATCTGCAGCAGCCGGGGCTAAAGTTAGCAGCAGCCCTCTCTCAGCATAGCTGTGTGAAGGACCGTTGGCTCTCATTTTTGGGGTTTAATTTGGCAAAATGTTAATTTGATTTGTGTTTATCTGAATGTGTTCATTATTATTCCCCCAATAAATTAAATAAAATAAGAATTTATTATCTAGAGACTATTAATAACAGGAGGTGAAATGCAGCTCCAGACTCGCTTTGAATGTGGTGATGTCATCAGTACGCTGCTGTTCCAGTTGACCCAGATTTATTCTGCTCCCGTTCTCCCCGAGTCCAGACTCTACTGGGTTCTAGTCAAGAACAGACTTGCCGAGAACACGAGTCCGTTCTCGCGTTCTTGTGAATCGAGAAACTGCCAGATTTTCTCTCCACTGCTTCAGGTTCTGAGTCTGACCTTTGACCTCCTATTGTAGAACTATAAACACAGATCATAGCTAGCAGGTAAAAACGCTGGAGGACCTGCTTTCTGCTCTTCCTGTCAGCGTTTCTCTCTCTAATCCAGCAGTGAAGCTGAGCTCCGTCTGCTTCGCTCAGCCTCAGACTAAATATTCTCCATCAGTTCCTCCTCTGATCGCTTCCTGTGGAGAAAAAAATAGTGTTGATGGCTTCAATAATTCAGGAGGAAAACTTTGGCGTTTGAAGCCGCGCTCCTGCGGCCCGTGCGGGAAAAACGCACTTTCCTCTCCTTTCTTGTCCAACATCAGCGTGCGACCTCTTTGAAATAAGTTCCCTGACCTCGGCTTCCCTCGGCTGCAGGAGCAGCTGATGAAAAAGGATGCTAACCGGAGAGGAAGCGGCTCGGCGCGAGCGGAGCTGCTCTCAGCATCACTGTTGTCCAATATTAGCTCTGACAGAGCGGCCCAGAGGACTCCGCTGCTGAAACCACATAAAACAAACCAGCTGAGAGGAGCGAGGGCGCGGAGGGGGCCGCTGAGCGCTCGCAGGAACAAATGATTTTACTCTGTCAGGGAATTCAGCCGAGGATACGTTTGATGTGCAGGGGGTGATTGCTCCTGCCACCAGATTTCCTTATTCTCTCAGAGATGTGGAGTGGGAGGGAAAACAGCCTGAGGCTGGAAATCAGAGCAAAGAGAAGGAGATGATGAGGAGGAGGAGGAGGCCAGTGGAGGTCCTGCATTAGCAGCAGCAGGGCGTGGGGAGGACTAACCGAGAGAGAGCCATGGAGGACGGCTGACCTGCAGCTGTCTGCCAGCAGGGGGCGACACCTGCAGAAATTTCAGGATTTTAACTGGATAAAAATCGGATCAACCAGAACCATCATCGTCCTACAGTTACTACATAAAGTCGGAACATTATGAGAATAAAGTCATGAAATTACGAGAATAAAGTTTTCATTTTACAAGAAAAAAGTCTTAAATTTACAAGAATTTGTAACATTAAGAGAATACATTTTAACATTTATGAGAATAAAGTCATAACATTATAAAATAAAGTCATGAAATTGCAAGAATAAAGTCATACATTTATGAGAATAAAGTTCTAATATCACAAACATCCGGACTCTGTTACAGGAAGTTGTTAATTTATGTTCAGAATCGGATCTTTTTCATTCGGATCGCAGCCTCAAACATCGGAACTGATTCCTTTGGATCAGAAACTTCTGGGTCTTTTTTGATAAAAAAAAATTAAACCACATTAAAACAGTCAATAAAAGCAGAACAGGACGGATTACTGCGACTTTCAGCTCCTTCAG